CCTACTTCTTTATGGCTCTATGACTTCCAGATCATTTGAACATTTTTATACAGCCTAAGTTTCTGGCGTCGTTTACCATTTTTTCTCAGAGGCCCTACAGAAGCCCACCTACTGTGCTTAGATCTGCTTGTAAGGCCACTGGAATGTGGATCATTCCTCCGTGAAAATTAGGCACAGGTGTCCGGTAGGGATTGGGGCTGTATTATCTGCTGTAAGCAGCCACTTTGTGCTGTAGATCTCCTTTTCCAAGGGAGAGAAAGCCACCGCAGAGTGCAGTCCAGCAGAGCTCCATTGGAGTTGCTTTGCCCCAGAGCCAGCAAAAGGACAAAGGTCTGCCTATGCTCAGGAAATGTTACTTACAAGCTGACAGTAGCTAACTTGCAGTGCTTGCATTTTGAAGCAAATTGTTATTTTTTTTGAAACCTAAGTGTGTGTCACTATAGTACAGCCTTGCCTTCTAAGTTTCTCAGAACAGAGTTTGGTACTAACTGCTCGCTTTGTAATACCCTTACTCAGCGTAGGATTTTAAAGTTATTGATGGAACTGCCTTAAAGCAAAAAAATAGGAGTTTAGAGAAAAGCAAAAAAGTCCTGAAATTTAACCTACTAGTCTTGCAAAGTTAAAAACTGGACCCATGAACTCATGTACTCCAGGTATCTGTCACCCTGTCTGAGAGATTGCTTTGATAGTCAGATTTGCCATGGAGGGCTACTAGCTCCAAACCAGTATGCAGTGAAGAAGCGAGTAGTAAGCACTCTCTTGCTTGCTTACCTTAGAGCTGTTTAGTACATCACAACTCTGGCAGCGGGGTTGTCCTACCCCACTCCAGAAAGCAGAGGAAATTTGTGGGGTGCACAGCCTTATAATTCTGTGGGGTGCACATTTGTGCTGAACTTTATTCATGGGCTACATTTTAAAGTTCATTCTAGCTTTATTTTTTTTTTTACATTAATTACTTTTCTAAAACATCTTTAAAGATGAGTCACAATTTGCTTAAAACTTGTAGAAAAGCATAACGTGTCTATGGAAACTTAAAAACACATGCACCCGGATTTGATTTTCAACAGGTTAGTTGTTGAGATATGCATTGAGTTTGGGCATCCAGACTAGCACAGACTAGCACAACTAGCATTGAGTTTGGGCATCATGAGCAGGTCCAAGGAAGTGATCCTCCCCCTCTAT